GCTTGATACGGATTTGGGTACTGAAAACGGGACCATGGCAGCCATTCAGTGCTATTTTAAAGATGACACAGACGCTCACAGATATGTGAAGTCACCACGAAACCAACGTATTGAAGGATGGTGGTCGTTTTTCCACCGAAATCGTACAACTTGGTGGATTAATATATTTAAGGATTTAGAAACACAGGGTCTACTGGATACTAGTGATACGTTGAATAAAGAGCGTCTCTGGTTCAGCTTTGCTCGTATACTGCAGAATAATTTAGACCATGTCAAAGATCACTGGAATACTCATTACATCCGAGCATCCAGACATGATACAGTCCAGGGAAGGCCAGACTCATTGTATTTCCTGCCAGAACATCATGGTGGTGTAGAAGAATTGGCATTATGTGTACCCGAAGACGAAACATCTGTTAATGTGCTGTGAGTGGTCAAGATGTTTTCTACCATCAATTGAAATTGATAAACAATTATAGATACTTTATATAAAAACAGACATACCATCATGAAATTCACTATATTGTGTGTTAGAAAAGTAAAATAAAAAATGTACAAACCCACGTAACCTCTAAGCCTAATTTGGCAAACATTTTCTCAGTCGGAAACCCAAGATTATTGGTAAAATTTGCCAGCATGAAAAACAATCTTCCTCCATTTTGTATTTAAGTACACCTAATTCAAGTTGTTTGTTTTTTAGATGAGATGACTACATTTCTCATTGCCAATTTTGCATAGGTGAACACTACTGCCCAGGAGCAGTACCTTAGCCTGTTGCTGTTGGAAACATGAATATTTGTTGTTACTTGTTGAGCTATTTTTGCAATGTGTGCACACAGCGTTCATACAGTGTCCATGTGACATATGCACACAGCAGACACACCTGGCACAACAAACACATACCCTTCAACTTAATAAATATTTATAAATATCACAATTCAAACTGAATCAAAAAGTTTCAATTGGCCGATGGAGCATTGTCTAATGGTGTCATTGCGCTGATTGATTTGGCTTATTGATTCAACTGAAATTTATAAATATTTATGAAAAAATGAAGGGAACACCTTTCTTGAAAATAATCTGCTTTTCAAGAAATTCAAACACGCGCTCTACGGACACAGTGGTGCTTTTTGAAAAAAATAACATAGTCGAGCATTTTTTCTTTAACTTACTCTACGCGGAGAGACAATATCGTTTCCCTGGAAACAACGATTCTAGTTAATCACATTAGCGTTACACAAGTATTTTGTGAATGACCAAATGTTGAACTTTTGGGTAACTCTGGTTTGAAATCTAAAATGGTAACAATTACATTACAGGATGGAGTGATATAGAAACCCAAAACTTCTGGGTTTGGAGCAACGACTGTCAACTATGTGAACAAGAATGTCAGTACCAACTTACCTGCTTTCGTTGTTCCCTCTTTATCAGCACTATAGACGATCAATAACTTAAGGCCGCGCCACCCACTGTCTGGTGGATATAAAACACTGAACCATCACCTTGCTGTACCGCAAACCACATGCACTGGGAAACAGACCAGATACCGTGCTGAGAAGAATCATACCATCCCTTTCCTTTGGCAGTTCAACCAGTTACAGTGTCCGATACACGGACAAATGATCCCATGGTGACAGATAACAACCTCAGGGAGTAAAATTCCTTCACACAAGCAGAATTTAAAATGGTGCCAGTATACGCACCAGGGAATTGTGGGATACATATCAGACTTCCGTCATGGATATGAAAGTTTTGTCACGAGAAAATTTTGTCATGGGAATGTGAGTTTTGTCATGACATTGAATGTTGCAATACAGTGATATACTAGAGTGCAGTCACGATACATTATGAATGCATCATGTAAATGTAAATATTTATCACAATTCTTTGAAGTTATATATTACGTGTTATATATTTGTGACAGATTTATAGAGGATTTTCGTGAGACAAAATGGTATGTTTCGTAATTTTAGAGTTCGCGGATTTGAAGTTGTGTCACGAAAATATGGTAGAAATGTGTCAAGAGTTATTAGTTGTGTCATGAGATGTTAATAGTTTGTCACGTAGTTATAAAGTTACGTCACGAGGATTTAAAGTTGTGTCACGAGATGGTAGAAATGTGTCAAGAGATAATAGGTTTGTGCTGGTAGTTTAATCAGTTGTGTCATAAGATGTTAATAGTTTGTCACGTAGTTATAAAGTTACGTCACGAGGATTCAAAGTTGTGTCACGAGATGGTAGAAATGTGTCAAGAGATAATAGGTTTGTGCTGGTAGTTTAATCAGTTGTGTCATAAGATGTTAATAGTTTGTCACGTAGTTATAAAGTTACGTCACGAGTATTCAAAGTTGTGTCACGAGATGGTAGAAATGTGTCAAGAGATAATAGGTTTGTGCTGGTAGTTTAATCAGTTGTGTCATAAGATGTTAATAGTTTGTCACGTTATAAAGTTACGTCACAAGGATTCAAAGTTGTGTCACGAGATGGTAGAAATGTGTCAAGAGACAATGGGTTTGTGTTGGTAGTTTAATTAGTTGTGTCATGAGATGTTAATATTTTGTCACATAGTTAAAAAGTTACGTCATGAGGATTTAAAGTTGTGTCACGAGATAATGGGCTTGCGTTAAGAGATGTTAAAGTTGTGTGAGAGACATTAATGACTTGTCGTGAGATTATAGAGTTATGTTGTTGGCGATTCTAGTTTTGTCATGAGGTAATAAAAAACTGGCACAAGACGATAACTACGCCATGGCACATATGGGCCACCGTACTTGACACACGCACATTATTCTGTGCAGCAGTGATACACAATGCTGTTGTATTGTACATTGATATATCTACAATTTTTCACATTTAGAGTTAGAAGAAAAAACTTACATAGGAACTATCTGTTCCTATGATATTCATGGTAAAACATTACTGGAATTATAATTGATCTGTGATATGGTAACACAGTACTGTAAAATTGGCATTAGAAGCTAAAATAAGCCACGTATACCCATTAATTTTAAACAATTCTCAAGCAACAATTTACTATTTCTCATATGCACTAATGCTGTGAAAATACTACATCCCCATTTTACGGTAATGTGAATTAATGTACCATTTCATTTGCTGCATGTTTTAAACAACTTTGTAATAGATAGCCCATGATCACAATATGGTTACACTATATAATCATGAGTGCGAACCATGGTTAAATGCCATTAACCAACTTGTGATTATGGTTTACCTGATTTGTACAACAGCTGTCAGGAATTGGGATGTTCAGCCAATTACGACCATTATGCAATGTGTATGGACAACCGGGGCGCAAAAACTAATTTGTTTGAACTTTGATCTCATTTTAGAGTTTGCCCTATCGATTGCCAAACATTGAAATGGGTAAATCAATTTTAGATTGTCGATAAGATTAGTGCTACCTTTCTCCAATTTCCACAGTCCTAATACCTGTTTATACTCGCTGGCAAACACATTGAAGACCCCAGTAAGAAAAGGGGTCAAATTTGACACATTTTGCTGCCCTGCACATGTTCAGAACTAAAAATAATCAGAATACTAGAGGGTCAAGAACTCCCTTGTATGATGGAGGACAGACAGGCAATTGTGATTTTAATTTCCATATTTTGAGTTGTTTTGTCTTGAATAAAATGACAGAATGTTGACTCTGAAGTGGAAGATGGTCAAGGATGTTCAAGCAAGAGATCGGCCTGACAGTGGGAAGAAACCTTGCCAGTCTATATGTCAATACAAAAATGAAAGACAGGCAAGTGAAATTGTGAAGACTCTCCTTGGTTTAAATACGATGAGGAATTGAACATGTACGCAGCCCTGTAAAGCGATGAAAACGTTTTTACATCTGGACGAAATAATTTATCAGTTATATGAATGAAGTTCATTAGAATAAATATATATGTCTGTTTTGTTTTGTTTTGTTTTTCTTACAAGCTACTTGAGGGGGGTCAGGACAATTTGGCTATCTGAATTTTCATCAGAGTCACAGTGATTCTCTAGCACTGACTGGCAAATTAAAGACAGCTATGGTACACCTGGAGAGTTATAGGGATATGTCACCAAAAGGGTCATATAATCATTAGTCTGGATAGGGATCTTGTTTCAATACATTGTAGTATTCTTTGCCCTGTGCCAGAGTGCAGGCACACGAGTCGTAGTTGTGTATAAGTGTTCCCAGGAATTTCGATATCAGTACAGTATTATCTCAAAGTGTGATATATTTTACATGTTAATTGTGATCTCTGTTACTATAGTGAACCAATTACTTACCCTGAACATAAAGATTTATTATGCGTACCAGTATCCCAATGTTTGGATATTGATGGGTCGTTTTGTTAATAATTTGGTGGCCCCAGTTGATTTTTCCTGTGAACCTGGGAAAGGCGACTTTGCCTGTTGCCATTTATCTTGTTTCGGCCTCTTGGATGAATATTTTGGTTACACATACAAAGAGCATCAAAATGCTGTAAAAAAACTGCAAATGAAGGAAAGTTTTCAACAAGCTTCTGCCAACGCTGAAGTACATCTTACAAATGAGGAATCTAAAAAATTCAAAACAGCCATTGCTTTATTTCGTAGTGTATTGGCTAGCTAAGGAAAACATAGCTACCATGAAGTATGCCTCCTTGTTACATTTTTTTTAAATTACAAGGCTGTGAGACCTTGAATGAGTTGGAACAAGGAGCCAATACTACTTGTGAGTCCCATATTACTGCAGAAGAAATTCAGAATTGTATTGCTGCTGTTCTTCAACAGAATCTGTTTGAGAAAATATCAGAATCTCCATTTATATCTGTAATGTGTGATGAAACCAGTGACATTGCTATAATTAAGAAACTTGTCATGTATGTAAGGTGACTCAATACAAAAACATTGAAGCTGAGCTGAAACACACTACTTTACAAATATGGATATATCTGATAGCACAGCCCTTACAATATCAGGTGCTGTTAAAACAAAAATGTTTAATGAGAATAATGTTAGTTTTGATAAAATGGTTGGCCTCGGCAGTGACGGGGCCAGTGTCATGACGGGTAAAGTGGGTGGTGTCTCTGCACTCCTAAAAAAAGAAAATCCAAGACTCGTTAACATACATTGTATAGCCCATAGGCTAGCTTTATGTACAGCACAGGCTGCTGTTAAGGTGGAATACTTAACTAAGTACACTGAAATACTAACCAGTATATCCCACTACTTCAAATATTCAGCTGTCCGAACTGCTAGAATAAAAGAAATACAGACTGTGTTAGATTCCCCACAGCTGAAGTACAAAGAAGTGTTTCATGTGCGTTGGTTCTCGTTCTATGCTTCACTGTCAGCCATCTACCGAACGTGGAGTGCATTGGTGGTGTATTTTGAAGGTCAAAATTATAGTAAAGACAGCAAAGCAAAAGGAATGTAAAAAAATCACAACACTCAACTTCATTGCAACAATGACCTATTAATGGATGTAATTCCAATAATGACACTGTAACAGTTATCCATGG